CTTTGCAAACTCCGCCGGCCGCACGGCAGGCTCCATCCTTCTCGGCAGAAGTCCAAACCACGTCAGTTCTGACGTCACGCCCTGACGTCAGACGCCACGTCTGACGCCACGTCAGGCCTGCCACCACCCGCTCCCTCCGCGAGGCCGAGCCTGGTCGGCGGGGAGCTCCTTGCTGTTTGAAGAGCGTGCAGCACCTGCTGCGCTCCTGACGTTTTAACCGAGACCCCCTCGCTCCCCCAGCAGGATGCTAACACGTCTCACCCAGTGAGCCATGTGGTGGAATTTGTGAGGTGTTCGCCGGTCCCTAGTAAATCCACGGTGGTCACGGTTTCCCTGGCCCCGCCTGCAGGTCCTGTCGGACAGGTGTGCAGGCCTCGCTGCTGGGCCCGGGGGAGGCCAGAGCTGGCCCAGCTGGCGCTGCGGGGGACGGGGAGGGTCCCCTCAGGAGACGCTGTCCCGGTGCAGCTGGGGTCTCACACGGAGGGCAGCTCTCTGCGCGGCTGACGGAGCCGGGAAGGGAAAGCCACGGCCAGGAGGTGTCCCGCTGCATGGGCAGGAATTATACCGGGAGAGACAGAGATGGCCCCAGCGCAGCCGCCCACAGAGGAAGCGTTTCCTTGGGGACAGAAACCTTCCACCCGCTGACTCGTGCGCGGGGCAAGAGGCCGTTAGAAAACACTAACTAGGAATCTTTTCTTTTTTTAAATAAAGTTAAAAAAACTTAAGTGGCCCCTTGACTTGTGGGCATTAAAATACAGCAACTCTGGACGAGGGTGCTTTGGGCCCGATTCAGGGGCAGGGTGCGCAGCACGAATGCACCCAAGGCCACCGGGCCGGCACTTCAGAGGGGTCCGCCTCCCGTCCGCGGATGTCTTCTCAACGTAGAAAAGAAACAGCCGCACCGCGCTGACGATGAGCGAGAGGCGTCCGTCACTTCAGGAGCCTGCCGTCAAAACGCCCACTGAAGTTCCGGGGGTTAGGCTGGCGGGTGCACAGTCAGCGGAGGCGCGGTTGCGGGTGCGTTTTTCCTGCTCCACCTCCCCCACCTCAAAGCCTCCCGCAGCCACCTCTGCTCCCTCCTACCCCTGCCCTGGCCCCTCCCCTTCAACATGGACTGAACCCCCACGGGCTCGGTGCTTGTGTAGGGGCCAGGGTGCAGGTCAGGCCTCAGGGAGCTTGCAGTTGGCACCCGGTGCCCTGCGTCCAGGCTGCTCACTGCCCCCCCCCCACCACTGGGGCTGCTAGAGCCGCAGCCCCGCCCGCACCGCGTTACCCTGCGCCCCTCAGACCACAGAAAGGGGCACTGGAAACACGCTGAACAAAAGGTCACTTCAGTGATTCTCAGAGGCTGCAAACAGAGCTCTACTGACCCGCAGGACACCTGAGAGCCCCCGACGCTGTGCCTTTGCCGGGCAGGCCCTCCGAGCCTGCCCTTCTCGCACCGCCCAGCTGCCCGCCCCCACAGGGCCCAGTCTCTCCAGGTCCTCTGCCTGCTACGGCCGCACAGCAGACCCTCTGGAAGCAGCCCCGTTCCCACAGGCTCCCTTCCCCTTCTGCTGCACTCACAGTGGGGTTCTGTGCCGCCCCGCCACCCGGGACCCCCTGCTGGCTTCCACCTGGGCAGGAAGAGGCCCCTGGGATGGGCTGGCGCCCGGACAACTCCAGGACGTGCAGGCAAAGCGAAAGGACCGAGCACTGGGGAGGCGGAGGCACACGGGCTTCTGCAGGAGGAAACCGGCCGTGTGCCCCGTGGAAAAGGGCCCCCTGCGCAAGGAGAGGAAGCCTGGTTCCGGGCGGGGGAGAGCCCCTGAGGGGAGACCGAGACGTGGAGCAGTCTCGGGCGGGTAACGCCCAGCCCCACTCGGACAGACTGCGCGCTGGGGTCGTTCGGAACGTGAACCAGAGGCCACGCCGTTGAGAGTACAGACGTCACTTTGGGAAGAAGCAGCACCAGGCTGTCACCGAGCCACCGTCGGGGCGCAGGGGCGGACCCCACATGGCTGGGAAAGCGGTTCGTCAGCCCAAGGAAACCAGAGACATGGGAGGGTCTTCACACACTCCGTGCCCGCTCCCCACAGGGCCGGCCCCCTCGAGTCCCCACGGGGGCTGCTGAACGGGAACAGGAACCCCGGCCTGGTCTCCCTGCCGCGCACGCGGGCTGCTCCGCGGGGACAGCCCCTGACCAGACGTCACCGAGCGGCCCTCAGTCTGATCTCGTTCATCTTGGAAAACACGAAGCAGCAGACGACCGTGGCCAATTGTTTCTTACTCGACTTGGCTTGAAAATCTCACTCTTCCTTAATTCCATTTGCAGACGGTCATCTCGGGTCAGCTGACCTCTCCTTTGTGCGGCCGAGGTTCCTCTGCACGTGTCCTAAGGGTCCGATCGCCAGAGAGCAGAGCCCCGATGAAGGTCACCGCACAAAGGGACGCAGGGCCCCAGCAGCAGCGGGGAAGCGAGGCTCCCGCACGGGTCCTGGCTCATCACCAAGAACTTAACGGACTCTCGTTAATGTTTCAAACACATGTCAATCAACAGGCCAATAAAAGTGTGACAGGCCAGGCAAACAGTGGCGACCAGTGCCACCCAGTTGGTGACTCACCAGCGAAAGTGCCCAGTTAATAAAATCACAGCGTCCTACTTGTGGACAATAAGCCGCTATCCATGCTGGGAACTGGCCGCCGTGACCTTAGACATTTCACAGCTCACACTGGGTAAGAAACGTGGAAAAAAGTGACTCAACGAAAGAATGGCCTCCTTTCATGTGCAGTGAGTGTGCGTGTAACAGACACGCGGAGACTCGTCTCGGTGGGTAACGCCGGCCTCAGCGTCGGACAAAGAGGCGGGGCGTTAAGTGGGATGGACAGTTTCTCCTAGTTTGTTACACGTGTGGAATCTGAAATTTGCTTTTTACTCGATTAAAAATTAAGCCAGCGTTCCTGTTTGTGTGCAGAGCTCCTTGCCCCAGTCCCCATAACAGCTGCCAAGCCTGGGGCACCAGCAGGTGACACGAGGCCCAGGAAGGCCCTCTGGCTTTGCAGGCTGCTCCGGAGCCCCAAGAAGAGCCCACTCGGGGAGCGGGCGCCTTTCTGCACTGACTCACAGTGCCCGGCGTCCACTCACTTCTTTTAAGTCGTCCCACAGATACATGGAAGGCCTCTTTCTAGGCAGGGCCGTGGGAAACACGAAACACACGGCCTGTGCCTCCCGGGAACTTCACAGATCTTTCCCACCTGCATGTGCAGACCTCGAACTTGAGTTTGACCATCAGCAACTTCAGCAATTACACTTTCTCTTCCTTTCCTGGGACAGACACACTGCTCCGAGGGAGCACGTTTTCAGGACAGTGGGGAGTCAGCCACTCGCCCCAGACGCCCCTGAAGACGCCCACTTTGGGGAGGAGCTAAAGCAGACACAGCAGCAGATGAACCCTTGGGTTCTCAGGTGCAAGACGGTGAACCACAAAGAGCGTTCAAAATCCAGGTTACTGGGTGCTCGATGTGCGTGTGTTACCCTGGGGGTGGGGTGGGCACAGGAAGGGTTACGGGAGGCCAAGACTGGTGGGAGCCCTTGGCCGGGGCCTTGAAGGGCAGACGAAGGGGCCCTGCCGCTCAGCAGGCCCGCTGGGTGGGACACCAGCAGAGACGGAGAGGGCGGCAGGCCCCCGGGCAGCCCGGTGCGGTGGTGCTCTCGGGGTCGAACACGTTTGCACCCAGCGCACCTTTTCTAAGAGGCTGAGGGCCATTCGCGTGCAGTGCGCCCTTTCAGGGTACAGGCCTGGGCTCCGGCAGAGGCACACGGTGGAGGAGCCGCCACCCCTGCGGCAGTCGAGAGAGAGAGAGAGAGAGAGAGAGAGAGAGAGAGAGAGAGAGAGATGGAGAGATGTGCACAGAAGGTTTCAGAGGGGTTTTGCGTTGGGTCTTAACCGGCCCAGACAGACAAGCACATCCCCCACAGTTTCCACGGGGAGGTGGCGCAGTGATCAAGGCCAGGGGTCTGGACAGGGAAGGGCCGGGGTCCCAGTCCCAGCCCTGTGCTTCATCCCCAGCACGGGTGCTGAGCAAGTGACTGTGCATCGTGGGGCCCCATCTGTGAGCCATGAAACTCGAGGGACAGCCTCACCAACCTCACGAGCACGGTACTCAGCAAACGTGAGCGCTGAGTCCCAGACGGGGTCTCCAGTGGAAAAGCGCGACCTGCTCTGCTACTTACACACGCTCTGGGGCGGTAAGGACAGAGCCTAAGTGAGACGCAGACTTCTCGGCCCGGCGCTCACCGACCAGGTGAAGCTGAGGGTGCCCGGCCGGTGTTGCCATCCGAAAGGAGAGAGGTCTCCTTTGCGGTGGCCGCAGAGGCAGGAAAGAGACAGCGCTCTGTGACAGGTCACAGGACAACCAGGGGACCCAGGGCAGACCCTGGAGGCCTGCGTGGGGCGGTCTGGCTCCCAGTGGAGCAGAAAGACCCGTGATCATGACCTTCAGTCCCCACCAGAGGGGCTTCGGCACAGTAGGGCCTCTGCCTGGGAAGCCGGCCGTGGCGGGGCAGCCGAGCGGGCGGTGTTCACATGTTCAAACTGGTCCAGCGTAAAGTCGAAATACGTGACCCCCACTCTCTCTTCCCCCTTCCTTCTCCCTTTACAAACATCCTCCCACGTTTACAAGCCAGTTTACAGCTCTTGTAAAATGTTAGATTTGGTTAGAAGGAAACTGAGAGATGTCCAATCCAACCCTTTTCGCTTTAAGGTAAAGAAAGAGGCCCAGAGGGGGCTGGACTAATGTGAGATAAAAGCCGAGTGGCCCCCCCCAGCCCCTCTTCCCACTCGAGGAGTCAAAGGCGGAGGCCAGGCCATCCCCAGAGCCCTGCACGCCCCTCTGACCTCAGCCACCGGGTCACTACGCCCTTCGCCAGCAGAGCACACCGGTGCTCCCTCAGTGCGGGCCGGCCGGCGGGGTCTGCCTGGCGCACTGCCGCGGGAGCCGCCGGGGAAACCGCTACGCACCAGGTCTGGCTTCACGCGGTAGGTCAGCGGAAAGGAGAGCCAGGCGGAGTGCAAGGTGGTGAACACCGTGGACAGCCAGGACTGCTGGACCTCGCGGCTCCTGGGGATGCGGTGGATGTAGTATGCGGGATGCTGGAAGGGAAGGCAGAAACCGAGTCAGCGGGCCGCCGGCGCCGGCGCTCGGCAGGCGGCCCTGCGTGCGAGGCTTTATGCACCGTTCCTGACGCCCACCCCCGCTGCTTGGAACTGAGTTAAGTCGCTTTTTTGTGCTTTACACAGCACACGTCTTGGGGCTGTGACGGAAGGTTTCCTAAACGGGTTTCAGAAACGTCTCAGTCCGTTTTGACCACACGGTGGGGACAGTTTTCTACCGTAAGTTATGTTTTAGGCAAAGAGCGTAACGTGCGGAGGTACAAAGAGCTCTTACGGATGAGCACGTGAGACACGTACCCAGAGCCACTGTGGTCGAACGCATGGACCGACCACCCCAAGGCAGGCGAGCATGCGCAGTGCGGCGCCTACCGAGCGCCAGCTCACTGCTCGGCTCAGGAGATGGCAGCTGGTCCCTGCCCCACCTGCCCGGCCAGCACCGACCCCCAGTGTCGCTGCGAAACAGACGCTGACCTTCCGCACACGGTGAATTCTGGGGGGGGGGTGTCTTTGGAAACATCCACCAGCATTTTAAGTGCCTGCTTCTGAACCGGCGCTTTTGCGGCCAGACAGCGTTTGCCCAGGCTGCGCAGTGCGTCACCCTTTGTGGACACTGGAAACGGCCTGTGTCTTGTCTGCCGGGGATGGAGACGTCCCTACGGTGAAGTGCACGGAGCTGCCGTAACAGATGACACGGACGGAGCGAACGTGTATGAAAGACGGGCTGACACGCGTGGTTAAGGTGAGCAGCAAGTTTTGGGTCAGTTTGTTTAATACGGTCCAGTGTGTATTAACACATCACACACACGTGCGCCTGGGCACACACCTGTACACATACTAGTGTTTACATGGAGAATATCGGGACCCATTTGCCACAAACGGTACAGGTGGTGATTCAAGACGGGTTCGTTTCCCAGCTCACGCAGGTCGACGTCGGAAACCCGCGACAAGCGTGTATTACTACTTCTGTCGTCCCAGGAACCCAAGTCCTGGGGGCCTTTGTTCTCTGTGCTGAGGGACCATCACCCAACACTCACAGCGCAGAGTGCTCAGTGTCCAGGGCTGGGGACAGGGTGGCCCTGGGTGGGCTTTCCTGTGAAACCGGAGGGGGTGCTGGGTTCGGCCTGTCCCCTTACACAGCGGCCAGCCTCCCAGAAACCAGGGAGCAGCGAGAGGGCGGGCGGCCCCACCCTCAAAAGGTGCACTTTGTCATTTCCACATGGCCCCACTGGTCCATGGGCCACCCTGTTTCCTGTGGAAGGGTCACCCACAGGCTTGGGGGGCAGGAGAGGAGAGTGACCGGGCCTTCCTGGGGCTGGTGACCCACCGGGTTACCACTAGGTCAGGGAGCACACAGGTTCGCATTTCGCACACTCCCCGCACACCCCCCTCGGGCCTCAAGAGAAGCTGCCCCTTGCGGGCAGGGAGCCTGCCTGCTCTCGAGGACGTGCACTGCAGGCAGTGGCTGCGGCAGTGGGTCGGCGGGGGCGTGAGGCTGCCTCTGGGAGGGTCTGCTGTGCGGCGGGAAGGTGTGCGAGCCTCTGTCTGCAGCTCGCCCCACACCCGCAGCCTCCAGCCCCCCAGCTCTGGGCGCCCGCGCTCCCACCTCCTCTCCCCCGTCCCTGTGCCTGGCTCCTCACTGGAGGTTTGCGCACCAGCCCTTTCTGGGAAAAAACGGAGTAGAAACGAACCGGAGCCTTGGGGACACGCCTGCGTTCCTGGTGAACCTCAGACTCCGGGGCCCCTCCGGCAGGCGCTGCTGTGCTGCTCTGCCCTCCCGCCTGGCAGCCCAGTGGCAACACGGTTCTGGAAAGTGAGTCCAGAGCCCACCCTCCAGTGACCCGGCCCCACAGTGGGCAGGCGCAGAAAAGAGGAGGAAAGAGGAACGTAAATGTGAGACTCTCCTAGTCTCGCTCTACCAAATAGCGAAACACCGTGTCTGTCATTTGTCTGTCTACCTGCCCAGCCTCCTGACGCAGAAGGGCAGGGCCACGGCCAGGGCACCGCGCGTGCCCACGGCCTCCCACGGCGCCCACGGCCTCGACCGACGCACCAGCCAACGCGCGGAGGCAACGAGAAAACGCTGACGCGTAAAACCGCGGAGGGCGGATGAATTTTTCAGGCCTCTACCTTCTCTGAAACGAAGTGAAACCCAGTTAGATGCTGACAGTGGGTGACAACTTGTGACTTCCAGAGCGTCTTCCAGAATTACCTCACTGCTGGAGACCACAGACAGTCCTGGCCCGGGGCTGGGGACAGACTAAATAGAGGGCTGCAGTGGCTGCCATGGAAACAACCACCCAGCAGTCCCGAGGGCTCCGCAAACCACGGCGGAGTCGACGCAGCGGTCTGTGACGTCATCCTCTGCCGTCACCGCGCCGAAACCTACAGCACGTTGAGTATTTAAATGTACAGCCTCGCCGCTGCGGACTCTTGGAAACAAGTCAAAACTGAAGTGGTAAAGTTTCGTTCAACCCAAAGCGGTTTCAGCTTTCTTTCATAGCGGCTTCTTAATAACGCAAAGGATAATGCAGGCTAACGGGACACTGGATGGTCCCAGCACCGCTCTGAAACCGAGACGGCCAGCACTCACCACGCCGGGGACCCGTCTCCATGCGTGCGTGGCGGCTGCAGACGGGGCCCTGCGGACCAGCAGCCTGTCACGCTGGGGGCGCCTGGCTCCCCAGACCTCGGTCTCTCGCTCTGGAGTAAGGGGGTCTCGTGAGAACAGGGACCCTCAACCAGCCACGGTGAGGGCAGGCCTGGCAGGTCAAAGCCTTGAGGCACCCCTGCGGCCCGCGGAGGCATTCCTTGGCCGGAGATGCCGGGCTCAGGGAGAGAGAGAAGCGTCTGTTCCGGGAAGGATTACGGCCCTGGTGCACAGTCTGATGCCCCACACCAGGCATGTTAGCGGCCTGCTCCCAGCTTCCAGTCCCAGTCTGGGGCCCAGTCACCTGGTCTCCCTTAGGTGAGCCACAGCCTCGGCCCGACGGTTTGGGTGGGGCTCACCCCGCCTCCTTCACCCCCTACCTCCAGCTCCCACTTCTGGGTGGGCCCAGAAGGGCCTAACCAACATGGGACAACCAGGAGCCCGGCCACCACGACAGGGAACGTCACCCAGCTGAGGCCACGAGGCAGGTGTTTGCTCCTGGGAAGAGAAGCCTCATGTCTCTCAGACGCTGACACAGGCCACCTTGTCCATCCTCACGCTGGGACAACGGCATGAAGCCAGGGGTGAGGGGCTGCTACAGCTCGGCATGTGGTAGGGACCCCGGGCCACTCGCCAGCAGGGAGGTGGCCAGCACCAGCAGCCGGAGTGAGTGCAGTGTTGGTTCACAGTTACTTGGACTCCATCGGTCCGGCTCTGATCCAAGCAAAGCCTCGCCCAGCTCATGGCCATGTGGGGGAGGGCACCATTAAGATGGGAAGGAATTTGGGGCATTAAATCACTTAAAACACTTCAGAGCTGCGTACACATCTATGTGACTTACTGTTCTGAAAACAATCATTTAGTCACTGAAACGGCCACATCAGGATCTGCGTCTGCAACAAACCACCACGGCTTTCTTCTTTAGACGCCTACTCACTCAGGACGGGCTTCCGAGTCAGAGGTGTTGGTCTTAACACAGCTACGGTTCGTTGTAAACAGGAAAAGTGTTGCCCTGGCTAGTGTAGCTCAGTGGATTGAGGGCAGGCTGCGAACCAAAGGGTTGCTGGTTTGATTCCTAGTCAGGGCACATGCCTGGGTTGCAAGCCAGGTCCCCCCAGTGGGGGTGTCACATGAGAGGCAACCACCCATTGCCTCTAACTCTTTCTCCTTCCCCTTTAAAAAAAAAAAAGGAAAAGTGCATGCATGCATACATCAGCCACACTCTGGAGATGCACTCACGTTGAACCAGGGCTGCGTCACGTAACTTACAAACTGCAGGGAGGCCCCACGACTCAGTTACTGGGTGTGCAAACTCATTTCTCTCACAGTTGCTGGGGAGTTGAGAACAGGGACTCCCAGAGTGCTAGAGCTAGGGCCGGGCGGCGCTGCGTGGAGCCAGAGCTCCACCTGGTGGTGGCCGTGGGGGTTGCGGGAGGGAGGCCGTCCCAGTAGCTCCACACCCACCGGCTGATGAGCCCTGCAGCCGGCTAAACGCGGCAGACACGCGGGCTGGGAGACGCCAACCCCACACCACGGGCCTCAAGGAGCAGGAAAACCAGCCTGCTCCCAACACGCGGGAGACCCGTCCCCAAAATACCGGTGCTGAGGATGCGTGTTTGGGTTATTTTGAAAATAACTATTTCATGTCAGTAGGTTATTACTTCCACTGGGGCTTTTATCTCTTCTCAGCTTTACTTCTCGAAAACGGCCTTCACTGTTTTCTAATTGTCATCTTAGAAAATGTTCGAAGACACAACCAAAAATGAGCCATCATCCACACACCAGACGATCCCTCCCCTTTGAACAGCCTTTCAATGGCTCAGATCGCTTACGAAATCCTTCCCTCAACTAGAAGCGTTCCAAGGTGACCTCCAGCTTCCAACGTTGGTATAACCTGTCTGGTAATCTCCCCACTTTGTCCCCACTTTCCCGCCGCCGCTCTGGTCAAACGCCCTCCTCTGGTCGGCACGGGGCCTGCATGCTCCCCTCCCTCTCCCCACTTTGTCTTCCTGGGTCGGACCCCGATCTTTCTTGGGAAGCCGCCCCAATACCCCAGCCTGGGGGTTCTGCCCTCCCTCCCACCCCACATTCGAAGCCATAGGTACCTGTGGTCTTGCCACCCGCTCCAGTGCCCTCAGTTCAGTGAGACGCCTGAGGGCACTGACCACTGCCACCCACTTTGAAGTCACCGTCTCGCCCTCTCCCAGCTGGTTCTGTGCAGCGGCCGTCACCCACGACTCCCTTCACTGCCCTGCCGAGAATCCCCGACTCCTCCTGGGCTCGGGAGTCCCCGTGAGAGCGGGTAAGTGGGGTCGAAAGTGGGTTCTGTTTCAGGACTCTCCATACAAGAGCCACAGATCTGCCCACCGGCCCCACTGCTCTGCTGTGCACTGCCACCTGGTGGCAGCCCGTGGGGATGACAACGACTGGGGTAGGGGAGGCACAGAAGCCCACAGTGACAGCAGTCCATCAGCTCCTGCTGGCCCAGGCTGCGGCTTCTGAAGCTGAGTGGCCCTTCTGGGGTGGGAGGGGAGAAAAAAAAAGGGAGAGAAATGGCAGGGCCTCCCTGGGTCCGTGGTGGCCGCCCCATTCTCACAACTGCTCTGGCCACAGGCTGTCACGTTCTGCTTACTTGTCTTGTTTTCACGCCCCCCCACCCCCTCCCCAACCGAAAATCCTACTAGCCCAGCTTTCAGCAGAGGCCAGGATCCTGCCACCCCCAGCTTCCCACCCCTGCTGGTGGCCTTGCTCCCCCGGCCTGCTGCCCATCTCCCTGATTCCTTGTCACCCGCCCCCACCCCCGCAGTCTGTTTAAAGGGCAGGCACACCCTGGCCCCCCAGCAAGCAAACCTTCCAACGCCCCTCAGGCTGCTGATCCTGGCTGTGCGTGTGCCCTGCGCTCACAGCCAGCACCCGCCCCGCAGCACGCGAGGGCACGGCCCGCCTGCCCTTTCCCGTCAGCAGGTTGCTCCGGCTGGGCCTTCTTGTTTTTTTTTTTTAACCTTTTCTCTAATTAAAGTAAGACCCCCACTTATGGTAGGACATTTGGAAACTTGTAAAAATACTGTCCAATGTGTCTAGTACCAAACGGTTCCCTGCACCTGGGCCCCTACCTCCTGTCCCCGGAGGTGGGGTGGGGACATCTGCTGAGACACAGCCAGCCTGGGTCCGAGCGCTCCTCCTCCTCAAGGAAGGTGGGGCTGAGCACCCCCCCCCCCCCCCCGCAGCCTCACAGACGCTGCTCTGGTGACAGGTTCCGCTTGGACAGGTTCCCACCCAATCTTTCTGAAGCGTGGCTTCAGCTATCTTTGCTTTGGAGCTCATCGCCGAGGAAATGACACTTTCTTTAGAAGGCTTTGCAAGATATGTTTTCTTTTTTTTTTTTTTTTAAAGATTATATTTATTTATGCTTAGAGGGGAAGGGGGGAAGGAGAGAGGGAGAGAAACATCAATGTATGGTTGCCTTTTTCGACAGGGGTCAGTTTTCATATAAGTAGTTTCACAGCTAATGTTCAGGGTTTTTTCATTTTGTTTAGCTTTCTGCTACTTGCCTTTCCAATAGCTTTATTCCAGTGGGGGTGAGAGAGTTCTCCCAAGAGAAGCCTGTTTCTCTTAAAAAGCAAAACTACACAGAGAAATGAGGGCTAACAGTAGAGTTTGACAGTGAGCAGAGGCCTGACCCGTGTGGCTCAGTGGGTTGGGCATCACCTTGCAAAGGGAAAGGTCGCCAGTTCAATTCCCAGTCAGGGCACATGCCTGGGTTGCAGGCCGGGTCCCAGAACGGTGTTTCCCTCCCTCCCTTCCTTCTCTCTAAAAATAGATAAATAATGCACAGAAACAATAATTTATTTCCATTCTTGTGTGTACATATAAATAAGGTGAATCTTGTACCTAAAGACTTTAAATACCATTAACAAAACTACAGTGGACCCAAGGACCCAGAGTAACCTGAGTGAAGTTTCTGTAACACAGGAGGTGATCTCCACCTCGGAGTGAACAAAGCAACGTTATTAAGTTAAACTCCAGTTTGCAATATGCTGCATGCTTATACCTGCATGACCAGGTGTTAAGTTAAACTCCAGTTTGCAATATGCTGCATGCTTACACCTGCATGACCAGGTGAATGCCAGCATCTAAATACATTTCCTACAAGCTAACAAAAGCATTTAGAAGTTCACTGAATAACTGCATATCAATTTAAGTTGTAAACCAAACAAGAGAAAGTCCCTCTGCTGCTTGGGCTGTTAAGTCATATCCTCTGATTTCTAGGAGGGTCTTGAGGTTCCGGGAAGGGCGGGCTCGTGGTCACAGTGTGGGCCGGCATCTCCCCAGGACTGGGTGTGAGTTGTGCTCTGAGTGGCAAGAACTAGACCCCTCGCCAGGCACAGGGCGCCGCCACGGCCCGGGTTCGTAAGCAGCACAGATGTGCTGGCTTCCTTGAAGAGGCTGGGAAATTCAGCCATGTAGAGCTACACAAAGCTGCGAACTGCAGGGGCGTTGTGTGGGGCCAGTTAACAGCTGCGGGTACAGCTACTTCGGGGAAAATGTGTGGGGCTGTGGGGGGCTGTTTCTCCAAATAGTCCAGAAGAGACTTCCACGCAGAGAACACACTAAAACCGCCTGCAATTACAGTATGGATTTGACTTTGGGTCTGGTAGGTGGTGTAAATGAACCTGAAAACCTTCCTCCCACAAATAGATTGAAATACTGTAAGAAACGTACTGTACTACACACCTTCAATATGTATTTTTGCACTGGGAGGAAGGGAATTCCTTCCCTGCCAGAAATAAGAAGAAAACAAGCAGGAAGCAGATGGTGCCCAACACGAGGTGAGGGAGGGAGACATGTCGGAGGCCTGGGGCTGGGGGTGGACTGCCCTGCCAGGTTAGGAGCGGGGGTGGCGCCTGACATTTCAGGGACGGTGACACTCCCTGTCCTGGAAGGTCAGAGTGCCCTGGGGCTCAGGTCTTGTCCTGTTCTGCTAACTACACTCAGTCCCTGGGTGACCTCACCCACTTTCTTACTGTAAGTCCACACCGTCATGCAAAGACACATGACTACCAAGTTTATATCCCAGACCAGGCTTCCCTCTAAACCTCACTCGTGGATCCAACCGCACAGCCCTCGGCTTGCTGGGGTGGGCACAGACATCCCGCGTGGAGTCCTGCTGCCTCTGGGGTCTCGCTCATGTTCGTAGAGGGCAACTCCATTTTCTGGTGGCTCCGGCCTGGAAGTCACCCTTTGCTCCTCACCTGACCCCCACGCCCGCATCCTAACCCAGGTGCCATGAGATCGCTGCTCAGGAAGGTGAAACCCAGTACACAACGTGAACCTTCTCAGAAACTGAAACGGTCACTTACCGTGGTACTGGGGTCTCTGTCAGCTCGGTTTTGTTCAAAAGAATGTATCTTCTGGGCACTGAACTCATCCGTGTCGGCAATGACATAATGCCTGGGGCAGTAGGCGCTGGACAAGTGCCCCAGAAGCCTCAGCATCTCGGTGGTGTGCCCGCCTGCAAGAGGAGAGGAAGCCTCAGCCTGGGAGGCCACTGGGGCAGAGCCGCTTGACCTGCTATGCCCCTACTCACGTCTGTGCATTTCTCAAAGGCAGGAGGAACCACTGGAAACAGGAATCTGTGCCCTTGTGCGAACACTACTTTTATGCGGGGAAGAGGGTAACCAATGTATAAACATAAAGCCAGCGCTCACGGCAGGTGCTGGGGAAGGTCGTGCGCAGTGCAAGGCACACCTCTTGCTCCGGAGAAGGGGGGTGGGGGGTGGGACACACACACAGAGACAGAGGCGTGCCCCGGCTGGGAATCACAACGGGGGTGGGGAACGCAAGCGGTTAGGGAAAACCAAGCCTTGGGGTGAGCCGGGGAGACCCCCAGTGAAGGCGGAGGCGACTCAGAGGTGAAGGCAATCGGAGCGCGGAGGCCCCTGGGCAGGGGCGGGAGTGTCAAGACAGGAGCGGGCCAAGGATGGACAGGAGGCGTGCACGCGTCCGAGGGGTGGCGGGGACGAGGGCGCAGCAGGGTCAGAGCGCAGGCTGGAGTGGGGGACAGTCGCTTGCCTCCGAGCTCGCCTTCTTTGTCCCCCCGCCCCCATCACTTGCCTACGGCTGCAAGAAAGTGCTCTCCGCGGGGACACGGTGAGCAAAGCAGAGGGAACGTGGAACCAATGGGGCGCCTGCACCCTCGCGACACCGGGGCTGTCGTCGCGCCGGAGCAGGGGGCGCACTGCCGACTGGGTTCCAGGAGGAACCAGACACAGACCTAGCCCAGGGCGCGTGTCACATTTAACTGTGACAGCTCACCTTGCCTCGCTGATCGTGATTCCTAAACTAGGTGCCAAATGCCTAGACTAATTCATGCAAACCGGCAGCATATTCTTCAGGGAAATCGCACGTTAGCACCGAGAGGCTTCTGCGTCCTCTCGGGTCACTACTAGTGTATCAGACAACGATACGCTGAAGACAGGCTACCGACTTGTGCAAGGCACTCCTCTGTCATTAAAGCAGCAGCAGCCCACCGGCACTGGGTCTGGCTGGGGGGTGGGTGGGTCGGGTCTGGCTGGGGGGGTCGGGTCTGGCTGAGGGGGTCTGTTCCGGCGAAACTACAACTCTCGGCGTGCAATGCGCACAAAGCGCGGAGGAGACCCGGGAAGGAGTCGCGGTGCACTCTGGGGTTTGTAGTCCCACCGCAGCCGGGCGGTCACCGCCCCATACTTACCGGACCCGGCCACCACCATGAGGCTGACAGACTTCCGGGGTACAATGACCTGTGAACGAAGCACGAGCCATAGCCGCAGGGCCAGGGCCACGGCCAACACCACTGCGCCCGCTGTCAGGATGAGGAGGGCCCCCATTCAACGGAACGACGCATGCGTAATGGCCTCTGTCCAGCCCCGAGGATGGTCGTAGTTCGGGAACTACGGGCGCTGAGGTGACTCTAACTCTACGCGTCCATGGCCTTGTTGGGCGGGGCTTGCTTGCGCTGGGCGGGGTTCATGCCCGGAAGCGGAAGTCCGGTCTCTGAGGACTCTGGATTCTGCGCAGCTACCAACCCAGCGGAAGCTCAAATTACGGAAGTTAAGGTCTGGGGAGGTTGGATTTCCGGCTGTGATGAGGTCCAAGGGCCTGCCAACTCACAAGGTAGCAGGTACTCCAGCCCTAACAATTTTGTGATTTCCACCTGAGGCCCAGTGGCACACAGTGCTTTTGTTTCCTTTCTTTTTAAAGTACCAAGGGGAGTGTTTCTGCTGCACGGTAGACGTTTACTAAAAGTGTTTGCCAGTAAAAGGCACCTTGGTACAAGTAATTGAGTTCAGGGCACTCATCTACCAACAAATGTCACTGCCACCAATTCAGTGCCAGTAGGAGTCCCCAGTCCGGGGTGCGGCCAAAGGAGAGACTTTAGGCAGGTGACCAGTTCGCAAACCTGGGAAACTACCTCAGTTGAAAATCTTAAATTCCTTCAAGAAGGCAAAGGGGAGGTCACCTTTTATAGAGAAAGTACTTGCCCTGGTTCCTGATTCGCCCCTTTTATGCAAATGAGGGGCTCAAATTCGCACGTGTGCTTGGTCAAAACAGCACTCTTCTGATTGGTTGGAGCCACGAGTCTTGGTTGGTTATTATGGAGCTGCTCTGATTGGCCCGGTGGGTAGGATGCAGCGACGATACAGCTGTGCAGCTCTGATTGGATGGGGTAGGTCTCCGCCCACTGGTGGAGGTAGCAGCTCAGCAACTCCTTCCTAAGGTTGGGAATACAGTGCTGGAGGCAGCCCTCTTGTGCTGTGGATTTAGACTGAAATGCGTCCTTCTTGCGATGTCTCTGCAGACAATGGCTCCTAGACCCTGGTTATGGATTTGGGTCCAGTTGACCACAAGGAGTCTTTGGCAGGAATATTCCTTATCAAAGGCAACCACCCTGATCTCTTTCCTAATACTCATGCTTTGTTCTAGGTGGTTTCAAAGCTCTCTAACCTCGTGACCAGGGTAGCCTAGGGTGAGCAACTCAAGCTCTGCCCAGATCCTGGACAGAGTGGGAGCTCAGTGGCTCGAGGTAGACTTACAACGAATCTTCATTTAATCTTACCACAAAGCCAACACCTCCCCCATCTTGCTTTAATAATGTTTATGTCTAGCTGATCTACACTGCGGCAATATAAAAATGTTAAGATGGCCTGGCTGGTGTAGCTCAGTGGATTGAGCATGGGCCTGTGAACCAGAGGATCGTAGTTTGATTCCCAGTCAGGGCACATGCCTGGGTTGCAGGCCAGTTCCCAGCAGGGGACGCATGAGAGGCAACCATACATTGATATCTCTCTCCCTCTCTTCTTCCCTTCCCCTCTAGATAAATAAATAAAATCTTAAAAAAAAAATGCTAAGCTCGGTGAGCCCCGTTTGCCCCAGATGTGGTTTGCCTTCAGTCCCCTGTAGGCCTGCAGGTTAGATAGGGCTTGTCCAGTGCGTCCGTATTCAGTCTTCCATCATTAATCCTCTAAACCTGAAGTCCTGACAATAAGGCCATTAGGCACATATTATCCCTCTCTTTACAGGTGAGGTTTTGATGGACTCAGAATCCCCCGGGCTTACTAACTCGGGGTTGGAAGTTCAGAGGTAGGGCCTCCGGCACAGTATGAAAAACAAGAATATTACGTGGGAGGTGGTTTTCTTTCATCTGCCATTCCCGGCAATGGCTTCCACCCAAGACTCTCTCCCCTCCTACTTAAAGGAAGATGTTCGTGATCTCAGCAACTACATCCAGACAAGGCTAGCTTCAGAGCCACAGAGAGGTCATCTTGTCTCTGGAGGTTTTTTTTTTAAGGGGGAATAAAACTTTTTTTCGGGAAGCCCTCACGGCAGACTCTCCGTCCTCTGGCCATGTCGATGTCACCTGCTTATTCCCGAAGGAAGGAGCCCTCAGGGCCGGCTGGGGTGGGTGGAGGAAGGCAGGCAGCTCACCTGCTGTACCCTGGTCCTTTGATGGAGGGTGGGCCCTGAACCAAATGGGCCTTGTCTGGGGGAGGAGGGAGTTGGAGGGAGGTGGGGAGAGATGATTGTAGGGTAGGAAAATAGTAGCTTTTGGGTAGCTGTGGAGGTAGTGTGTCTGGGACGGCTTTGTAGGCTGCCACAGGAAGTATACACACGCAGGCGTCTGAAGAAGTATTGGGCTGCAGGCCCCGGAAGACACCCTCGAGTTCCCGGTTGCCCCATCCCCTTGCTACCGCCACTGCCTGTATATAGGGAGAGTCGGTGTAACCAGACTTGGCCTGCGGCTGGCATGAATGGGGGTGACCAAGCACTTCGAGGCTGCCAGCGAGTGCAGAGAATCAGAGTGGGCGGAGCAGCAGGCATGGGCTGCAGTTTCAGGTTGAGCTGTTTGGGATCAAGGCTAAGGTCAAACTGTTCAGGGTTCCTGATGAGGGAGCCGAGGACTGTGGGGAGGAGTGAGGTGGCCGGCAGGGACAGGGACAAAGTTGGGAACTCCGGAGCAAAATAAACTTCCGCTGGGTGAGCCGAGGCCTGGGCTCTGTCAGGCTCGGCGTGTGTAGATAACCAAGAGGTCAAGAAGCCGCACTGGCCCCGGCTGGTGTGGCTCAGAGAGTTGGGCGTTTTCCCACCAAGGGAAAGGTCGCCAGTTTGATTCCCCATCGGGCGATGTGCCTAGGCTGTGGGTTCTGACCCCTGTTGGGTCCGTGGGAGAGGCAATTGACGGGTGTTTCTTTCCCACGTTGATGTTTCTGTCCCTCTCTCCCTCCCCCCTTCTCTCTAAAAAAACAAATACTGTTTTGAAGAGGAGGTGCACTGGAAAGGCAAGGAGGGCTGAGTGGGAGGAAATAGTAATAACTTTCCTTTGGGGAGGCCAGTTGCTTCCACGGTGCAGATAACAGATGGGGGGGGAGGGACACGGACTTGTGGTGCTGTGAAATGCATGAGAAATGAGCTAGCAATTGACAAAATGAGTAAAGGTATTGAGCCATAACCGATCATAAGTGAAGTCTGTCTGCACAGTGAGTTTTTTTCTTTTTAATCTATCTCCTAAAGTTTCTATGGCAGATAGCTGTTATTCGTGAATACATTCAAAGTTAAGATTATTTTGCGCTCTTCAATAGGACTGCATGTGTTGATTTGGTCAGTGTATTGAATGCACACCTTCTGGGTGCCAGATTTGGGTGCGGGGGGGTCTCCCCTGAGCAGGACAGACACCCAGACACGAACCGTAGATGAGGAAGATGATAGTGGAGGTGGAAGTGGGTGGATCTGAGCTGCCTTTTATGGAGAGCGTCCATAAGGCTTGCTGATGGATTAGATATTGGGAGTCAAGATGGCTCCTAGAATCTTGGCTTCAAAAGTTGGATGGTGTCATTCGCTGAGAATAGACAGCCAGTAAGAGAAGCTTTTGTCAGTAGAGCGGGGGGAGGAGAGGATGAAAATGAAGTGTTCTGCTCTGGGTGTTTAGTCTGAATACCCTGTTAGACATCCAAGTGGTTACTTCAAATAGGCAGTTTCATGTCCACATCTGAAGCCCGGGTCAGAGCTGGAGGAGTAAATTTAGCGCTCAGCTTGTAGAGGGTGTTCCCAGCTGGTGGGGCCGGGTTGTGGGGGGGGGGCTGGGAGAGGTCCCAGGGGAGGGAGTCTAAGTCAGCCACTAGAACTTCCCGCAGGGAGGGACATGCTTTAGGTCCGTGTGGTCCCCCTCCACCTGTGCCCACTGAGCGCTTGAACTGGGCTGGTGAGAATGAGGAACTGAATTTCAGTTTGACTTTCAATTTAAACTACGTTCAATTTAGACAGTAGCCAGTGGCTACCGCGTGGGACCGCTCAGGAGAGAGGAGAGTCCGGGGCCGTCGACATGTGGGGGCTGAGCCAGCGAAGAAGATGGAGCAGGGAAAGTCGGGGGGCTGGGAGGGGAAAGTCGGGGGGCTGGGAGGGGAAAGTCGGGGGCTGGGAGGGGCGCCAGGAGGGCAGGGCATCCACACGAAGCGGAAAGTGGCTCGGTTACGGGGATGCAGGCAGCCGAGCCCCATGTGGCCGACGGGTGGGGTTGGGGAACGCGTACGTACCTGGGGGGCTAGAGAAAAGCAACGTCCCTTTGGGATGGTGTCTGTCAGAAGGAAAGAAGCAAGGGGAGAGCAGGAGAGGAAGAAAAGCGTCTGAAGTGTAGACAGCCGTCTGAAGTTTTCCTTCGCAGGGGAGTGGATGGATGAGATGGGAAATGGGAATCTGGAATCAAGGGGACATTTTTTCATCCTCACCTGAGGAGATGCTTATTGATTCTGGAGAGAGGAGAAGGGAGGGAGAGAAAGAGACATCGCTGCGAGAGAGAAACATTGACTGGCTGCCTCTCACATGCACCCTGACCGGGTACCGAGCCCGAAGTCTAGGCACGTGCCCTGACCGGGAATTGAACCCGAGACCTTTCAGTTTATGGGTGTGATGTGCTGTCTAACTGAGCCATGCCAGCCAGGGGAAGGGTGTTTATTAAGATGGGAGTCACTTGCGATATTTGTTTGGCTTGCGTTACAAGTGATTGACAGAGGAACATGGTGCAGGCAGGAGAGAAAGGGAACGAGCAGAACACATTTCTTCAACAACTGGACCAGGCTGGGGCCCAGGGCACGGGGCGGGGGGTTAGGCTGTGATGCGGGAAGGGACCCTCAGTCCTGGGGAAGGAATGGAGGGCAGGTCCCGGGAGGGCTGCAGGGATTGCTGGTGAGCGGAGGAGGCTTTGTGCAGGATGGGACAGAGACAGGACAGAGGGTGAGGTGCCCGAGGACGAGGAAGGCACGAGACAGTCCTCCTAGAGAGTGCCGGGCATCTGCCCCAGGGGTGGCGCGGACTGCAATGCCCACCGGTGTCTGGGCTGACAGATACGGAGAGGAACCAGTAGTGGAATTCTATGTCTTTTCCCCCGTTGGAAAGGCAGGTGACTGGCTTCATGCAGAGCGGGGTTTTTGACAGGTGGATACGTTAGAGAAGGTTTTTCTCAAGGGAGCGAGGCGTGGGAAGACAGGAGAGAGGAGGTGGGGCGGGGTGGACAGAGGGAGGGTGTAGGCAGGGTCAGTGAGCGAGAGGCTGCAGGAGGCTGAAACAGTGTGGAGGAGAAGCCAGTCAGGGGCTGTGGGGATGAGGGCGTGCTCAGAGCGGGTGTCGGAAGCCGGCCATCCTGGTGGCATCTGGGGTGTGGCAGGAATGGAGGAAAAGTCCGTGGCCGAGAGCTGAAGGTGCGCAGGTGCGGAGATGACAGCAGCCTGAAAGGGTGCCACTGCGTCCACTGGGTGCCATGGGAGCTGGCACTGGATGAGACCAGCAGGTTTCCCTGCCCTCTGGGTTCTGGTTGGTCCTGGGGAGGGAGGCTAGGCTGTGTCCCCGAAGTGAAGGTCCCTGCTCCTTCTGGTGGCCTTCTCTACCGGCCTCCTTCTTCCTGTGTCCCTGATCCCTGCAGGTCTTTGTGGTAGCTGGTCCACTCTTCCTGGCCCCGAGTTCCCACACTGCCCTCCTGCCTTTCCTGCGCCGTCCTCGCCTCTGTAACTGGTCCCCAGACTTGACCTAATGTGAGTGTGCCGTCTGTGTCCTGCCGGGGACTCTGGGTGGTCTGGCCACAGGGCGAGGCCTCTCTCCAGCTGGCCTCTGCGAGGAGAGCTGGTCTGGAAGCCCCGATGGGGGTCGGGAGGCTTCTGCCTGTGCAGGGGTGGGGACAGGCATTCAGGAAGGACCTGGACGTCCAGGGGGCATTGCAGGCCCCCACCCAGGAGGCCTAGAGGGGAAGGGGGGTGGGCTAGGTGGGGGGCAGGGGGCAGTGGTCGTTTGCAGAGATGTAACTGCAGGGAGAAGAATCAGGGTGACGCATCTGGAGGCTTTTGGGGACTGTCCTTGGTCACTTCCCTTCAGTCCCAGTGCCTCTTGTGCTGTGCTGCTCTCTGGCTGGGCCCCAGGGTGCAGGGCGAGGCCGTCGCTGTGACACCTGGGCAGTGACTCAACAATGACCTGTTGTGTGAGCCACCACCTCCTCACCGGCCTCCTGGAGGTAGCCCCACCCACGCCCCGGGGGTTGCGTGGGCACCGGCTATCTCTGCCCCCACCAGCCCCCCTCCCACCAGCCCCCCTCCCCCCAGCGTCCAGCAGCCCTCAGTCTGACGAGGGTAGTCATAGTGCAAAGAGAAGAGCAAAGCTTTTCTGCAAGAGCCAGGGAGGCCCCTCGGGTCCTGCTATGTTCTCCCAGGACACGGTAGGGCGGAGCCCGAAGGGGCTGCTGGCCACGCTCCTCACCTTCCGGGTCTCAGCGAGGCTGGCGGTGGTGGGCGGGTGGGGCGGGAACAGAGATGATCGGGGTCACAGGCAAGGCTGCTTCTTCCTTTGTCACACGTGCTGACGTGTTTAAGTCCTGACCTCTTGCAGCCCCTTCCTGGGGCTCCTGGGACACTGGCCCTGAAGGCTGAGGCCAGTGGGGGGCTTCTGTAGGCCAGGCACCCGGAACACGCACTCAGCCCCTCAGCCCCGACCAGAGCCCTGCACAGTGGCGCGATCCTGACCCACAGTCGATTCCCGAAGACATTAAGGAGCAGAGAGGGTTTGCTCAGGGCCACGAGGCCTGGAAGAGGAGGCCGGGGTTCTGAGAACCTCCGTCCGGGCCCCACAGTGTCTGTCGGGTGTTCGTGGCAGCTGCCAGGCTGCGGCACGGAGAAAGCAGGACAGACTCCGGACGCCTGCGGCGCCTGCATTTGTAGTTCTAAAACGGAAACTGAATAGGTGGGAAGGGGTCTGGAAAAGCGGCTTTCTCCCGTGCCGGTCGAAAATCCCCTCTGTTTTCCAGCTCTCTCTCCAAGTGTGTTGGAGAAGGCTGCCAGATGAGAGGCGTAGACAGGCACATGCGTGTGTGTCTGTGCACACACACACACACAGACACCACTCTTGTTGAAGGCGGATCCCCGGTGACAGTGCCAGGCGCTGATGGGTCCTCTCACTGGGCACCCGGTCACCCCGCCTGCCCCTTTCCCGCTGTTGGCGGACCCCTTGCCCAGACCCGTACTCCGCAGGCTACTTCTCGGTTTCCGAGTGAACGAGACGTCACAACCTAATTGTAAAGCCCACTCGCAGACCGAGGCGGCGAGTGTCATCCCTGCTACACTGTGAACAGCAGCCGCAGCAGTCGGAGCTCCTTCAGCTCTAAGGCGGCTGTGTTGTCAGTGCCGGCCCTGTGAGTAGGAAACAGTTCTCTTCCGCGCCGAACTGCCTGTCTCTCACCGCTGGCTGAGGCTTAGGTTTCTCTGCGTGGGACCCGCCCCCCACCCCCCGCCACTGCCAAAGCCTCTGCCCAGCACCTCTCTGAAGTCTGGCTTTCCCGCACTTTCTCAGCCGCCACTCAGGACGCTTCGATGAACTGACGCGCGACGGTTGTCCCCATTTTGCAGGTGAGCAAACTGAGGCGTCCCCGTGCCATCTGCACTTTGCTGGTGCTCTGATTTGACTTCCCGCGGCTGCGCTGTGCTCCTCTGGTGGCTTCGGGCTCTGGCGATGCCACGCAAGGAAGGTGCCTGATGTGCAGGAAGAAGGGGGTAAAACAAATGCATCCCGCAGAGGCGCTGCGTCAAGGTCAGTGCCAATTTCTCTGGGAGGTTCTGTGTCCACGCCTGGTGACCACACATCCCAGCAGCTCTGGCCGTGCCCTTTCCCTGGTTTCTTCTCAGCGTCCCCATAATTCACTGGCCGCCCCACTCACCTGCCGTCCACTTTGAGTGCCCTCTGCTCATCGCCAGTCCCCCCTCGGTCTGTCGTGGGCAGGCTCATCAGCCTCCTGACACTCTTTTCTGCGAGGAGCCTCAGACTGAGACGGAGCCAGACTGGAGAGCCTTCCCCGCTCCAGGCACCAGTGGGGCTCTGCTGGTCGTTGGGTCAGGAATTATCACCCTGCAGGAGGTCAGAGATGGCTGGAGAGAGCCGGAGAAGGGCGGCGCTTTGAGGCACTGGACTGGCGTTCACCCAGGGGGCTGTGAAATGCTTCCTCGTGTTTTTAACTTAGCATCGTGGAAGAGCCTCGACACTTTCCTTTCTGAAAAGGTGCCCTAAACGCACCAAAACCTTTTGTGGTCAGTGTCCCCATCAAGTGCGTGGCCTCACCGCCCTGAGCCTTCAACCACCGACCCCCTCTGTGTCTTTCCCCTTAGCCTCCGAAGCTCCAGGCTCCCCATTAACAATAACAGATCAATAAAGTCTCTTTCTGTGGGTCTGGCTCAGTGCAAGGCCTTCGGACGCCCAGCCAGGCACCGCAGCCTCGGGCCACACCTTTGCCTCTGTGCCAGGGTGTTTTTCCACTCCTGTGCCATTGGGCTGTTTCACGGGACTGGAGGCTTCCGGTGAGCGCGGAGCAAAGTGACAGTTCAGATGCTGGGCGGTGGTCACCCAGCCCCTGGGGCCAGGCAGCCTGCTCCGGGTGGAGCGCAGGCCCGTGGCGGGCCCCTCCGTGAATGGAGGGGGCACGGCCTTCCCAGTGCTGCACAGGTCAGGGAGGATGGACACGGGCCTTGCCCGGGGCCGACACTGTCCTGTGCGTACTGGGCACCGCTGCCCCGAAGAGTGCCAGCGTGTCACTGCTCGGTGGCATTGGAGCTGGCCCGCGCTCCTGCAGACACACATGGGCCTTTCTCCGACGAAGCCTGCCAACGAATGGGGCTTTTATGTCTGCCCTGCCTTAGGAACCTTCCCCGTCAGCCACCCCCCCACTGCCCCCAGGAATCCATCTAAAGGGGCCTGACAGGCACCCAAGGGGGACCTTCAGTATCAAAATACTGAGGCCTCCTAAGGAGGGCGGCCCCTCGCTCCTTGCTCCTCAGCGCCCCTTCCCCAACCTCTGCATCAGGGGGCCCCGCCCTGTCCTTCAGAAATAATCCAACCACTTCTCACCCAGGCCAGGCCAGTGCCCTCTCTGACCCCCTCTTCCCAGGCCTCAGCGGAGGGAGTGAGCATGCTCTTTTTGGGGTGGGGGGACTCCAGAGGGGAATGGGCTCCAGTCTCATGGACGAGCTTGGAGGGGACGCTCCCAAGAGTCGTTCAGCCACCCACCCCTATGCCCTCCTGTCACCCGGGGCACCAGCCCGAGTGGCAATGAGAATCGCCGGTTTCCCGCAGACGCGATCTGACCCTGGCTCCGCCTGGCGCTTCCCACAGGGTTCTGGGCCGCCTCTCCGAGGCCTGGAGGGAACGCACCAGCTCAGCTAGAGTTGGTTGGTTCTGGGCCTCTCCCTCCGGGGATTTGGGGTGGAGGGGTCGTATTTCCAGCTGAAAGTCTGCCAGACAGAAAGGCCCAAAATTTGTGTTTTCCTGTAGCTGATCCGTGTCCCTCATCTCTATTCCTTTTCATCGCCCTGGAGGGTTTGTCCAGGCTCTGGCTGTGGCCCCGGTGTCTGTGTCCTCCCTCCTTCTGTCCCCGGCCTGGCTCCCTGCCTGTCTAGGGGCCTGTCTCACGCAGAAGTGGCGACACCAACAGTGTGTGTGCAGATGGGAACCCAGTCTTGGGGGCCCCAGGGCCCCAGTACTGAACTATTCAGCCGCCACGTCCAGGGGTATCCCCAGCTTTGGAGGGTCTTCACCAGCCTGAGGGCCAGAGGGCTCTGTGCTTCCGGATGCACAGGACACAGTTGCCGGGCAGCCAGAGCTGCACCCCCCCCCCCCAACCGTCTCTGGGACCCGGCGCCCGGCTCAGCCCTGGGCTGGCGGTCCCCCAGTCCACGTGCAGGTGGGACCAGTTGTGACCAGGTCCCACCTTCCCTCTTCCTCCCCAGAGTCACTGCCCTAAAGAAGACTTCCCGTGCTGGCTGCCTCACCGTCCTCTGCTCGTTTCCAGGCCCCAGTTCCCCGAAATCCGGCCCGGCCGTAGTCACTCTCTCCTGTCACCCTGGGCTTTCGGGTCCAGAGAGCTTCACCCTTCTCGGTCCGTCCAGTCCTCTCTCGAGCCAGAAAATGTTTTTTTCTTTCTTCCACCTTCATTTCTACATTTTCTTCTGATTCTCTTTGCATCGCTATTGTTCCATCTCAACATTCTTGGGTCTTTCTCATCTGATTCCCTTCAAATGAAAGAAATCCCTTTCCTTTATAAAATGTATTCACTGAAGTAGTGGAAATAAAATAGACACTTGGGTACTCACCATCTAGATTTTGCTTTTATTTTCTCTCTTCTTTTTTTTGGTCATTTTCTTTTCCTCCAAGAAACGAAATCCATCTTTACCCCCTTTTGGTTTTTGTATTTCCGAGGATTCTTCACCTCGCATCTCTTTTCCTCTAACTTTCCGTGGCAGACGAAGAGGCCCACCGTAAACCCCTTCTCTTCTTTCTGGTCACATGCTCGCTCCACGGAGACTGCGTGTCTTGTCCTGCTGTGCAGCGAGCTCTGAGTTGGCGGGTGCAGTCCTGCCGACGGAAGGCAGCTGGGAGTGGGCTGCAGCTCTTGCTTTACCCTTTAAAGGAAGACGGCGGGCCTTGGACGGCTCTCTGTCCTCTCCGTGGACCGGTCTGCGCCCGGCATGACCATGGGGACGAGGAAGGTGCCCGTGACAGGGCGGAGCCCCAGGACAGGTGGAGTCTGGGTCCGAGGTGACCTCACAGCAGCGAGTGCCCTGCCCGTCTCGGCCCCCCTCTGCCGAGAGAGGAAGAGGGACTGCACCTTCCTTCCGGCACTGCTTCCTGGGCCTCTTTGCTAGAGCGGTTTAGCCTTCATCAGGAGAAAGGGGTGCCTGGGAATGAGGGAGTCCTAAGGGGACCCTAGGGCGCACAGCCTTCCCTGCGCAGTTGGGCAGCGAGGGCAGACGGTGCAGCCTGAGCAGGGGGCGGCGCCCTTGCAGCATGGCGGGTAGGGGTCTGGTGAACCAGCTTGGAAGGCGGGCCACGTCCCCGCCGTGGCTGAGTGTGGGGGGAAGCACGTGGGAAGAACCAGAACGTAAATGTGCAGTGGTTGTTCCCTGCAGAATTTAGCAATGTTTTCCGAGAAAGAAGTGAGCTCACAGAAGAAATGACGAGTTTACGAGGGGAAGGAAACAATGTGTGGAAAACTGGGGCCTCGTGGGGTGGGAGACCCCGCTGTTTCTCTGGCCTGAGCAGGTGAGGAGAAGACCGCTCTTCAGAGGCGCCTGGGAGGCCGGCCTGCTGTTGAGATTCCGCAGCCAAGTGGCGAGGTCGGGCTTTGTCCCAGAGACCAGGTCAGGGTGTCGCCTGCACTGTTGAAGGTCACCTCCAAGCCGCCACCATCGGAACAAGGGAAATGGGAAAGAGGAGAACCTGGAAGGTCAGCACGTCTCAGTTGGTCCCAGAGAGGAAGTCTGGGCCCTGTCCCGGGTCCCTGTGACAGACCGGAGAGGGTCGGCGGGGAGGCCGCCTGGGCCGGTGGGAAAACTGTGCTGCTGGAGAAACCGTACTTCTGACCCACGAAAGCCCGCCACTGTCCTCGGGCGGCTTCCCGGAAAGTGTGCTCCCCAGCACCCGCTTCCGTCCTGGGCCTGGAGAGCAGGGGATGAGGAAGGACCTCGGGGAGAGCAGGCCGCGCCCGCGGCTTCGGGGATCCTTCCGGGGCCCCGGGGGCCTTCCTGTCTGGACCCGGAGAACCGCTCCTGCCCGGCCCTCCCGGGCCATCCTCTCCCCTCCGGGGGGACTTGGCAGGCGGCCCAGATCGGAGTGCCAAACCCACCCGTGACTCACCTCGTACCTCTGGTGCCCCTGCTGCCTCCTCGTAGGACAGAGCCCCCCGACCTTTGTCGGCAGCGCCTGCAACAGCGCCGTGAGGGAATGTGTGAGCAGCAGAGAGACCACGCCCTACGCGCTCCGTTCCCAGACCGCCAGGGGGCTCAGTCTCGCAGCGGGCACTGCTGGGGACTCTGGCCCACACAGGGACAGCGTTCAGAGAGGTGGAGACAGGAGAGACCGGAAGGCTCTGTGCTCGGACGCCCAAGCTCTGGAGCCGGGCTCGCTCTCCTGGCGTCTTGGCTCTGCCCTGCGCTCTGCTTCGGCGAGTGGATGAACCTTGTTAGGTCTTAATTTCGTCATCAAGTGGGACACATGGGAGGGAGTCTCTCGTGGCATTACTGTGAGGCACGCACGAGGACTCAGGGATGGAGCCCCGCAGGTCTGGCTTGCAGAGAGAGTCCTGGACGCCTGGCACTCAGGGTGTGCCCACCACGTGACACGGGGCGAGCGAGGGCTGGAAAGGTGAGCCAAGCGCACTTGGAGAGAGTCACCGAGTGTAAAGGACACCGTGTACAGGACTGTAAACAGAGCCCGAGCTAAGGGAGCAGCAGCCAGAGAGGAGAAGACTCGGAGTGTCGGGAGCCGGGCAGAAGGAAACCGCCCCGGGCTCGGGCAGCCGCACCGGACAGCCAGGCCGTGGCTCGGGCCGCAAACCCCTCCGCACGGCCCACGGCAGTGGATTTGGGAGAAGAGGGCGCAGGTCGAACAAATCTCAGCCCTTTCTCTGCCAGTTCTCTTTTGAGGGTCCCCTCCAGTTTTGGGGTCAGCTCCTGTCTTTTCCTTCCTCATCAGCCAAGACTCTTTTATCACCAGTTCTTTGTCGAGAACCTTGGAATACAGTGATGAGGACGGAGGGGCCCCCCTCCCCACAGAGCTGGTCAGACTGACCAGCAGATTCAGACCCTTAAACACTCTGTGAGAGCTCAGGGGTCGGGAGGCTTCCTGGAGGAGGTGGCATTTCCTGGGAAACTCGAAACGCAGCTGAGCGGCATCAGCTGGGCAGGCTGCAGGGAGCGGGGCCGCTGGGGCAGCACAGGCAAGTGCCTGGGAGGGAGACAGGACCCGCAGCCCCGGCGGTTAAAGTGCGGAAAAGCCCAGTTGGCGGCCCGAAGTGGCTGGAGAGGAGGCTACGCGGCACTGTCTTTTCGCGCTGGTGGGGGATTTAGGCTTTAGCCTCGGAGCAGCGGGAACCATGCTGGTGTTCAAACAGATGCGTGGCATTTAGACAGAGGACTCTGACTGCCACGTGGACAACAGCAGGAGCAGGGCACACAGCCCAGAGCCCACGTTTGTAAATAAAGTTTTATTGGAACACACTCATACCCAACTCACTTTTGTGTTGTCTTCAGCTGCTTCCAGGCCTTAAGTGAAGGGCTGGGTGACCAACCAGCCGGCCCACGAGGCCTGCAGGGCTTTCTCTCTAGCCTGTGGGGGCGAGTTGGCTGACCCCAGGGGGACTGTTGCAGCGACCTGGGGTGAGATCGTGGCCCCGAGTGTGGAGCTTGGGCCCCATCCCAGAGCTGCTGAAGAAATCCTGACCCTGGTGCCCGCCGAGATCCCAAGCTTTGCTTTTATCTAGATAAGGTGCTTTTCTTATCTAGGCCCCATTACCCAACTCAAACAAAGCTCAGTGCGTCTAGAGACCGCTGCCAATTTCCCAGATACCCCGGGCCTGGGCCTCACCCGGGCCCTGCTCTGGCCCCATTACCCAACTCAAGCAAAGTTCAGTGTGTCCAGAGAGCGCTGCCAATTTCCCAGACACCCCGGACCTGGGCCTCACCCGGGCCCGGCTCTGGCCCACGGGCTCGGTTTCTGGACCCCCTCGCTGTCCTGGGCCTGCTGTGTCATGTCCTCGCAGTGGGACTCGGCGGTCTGAGTTCACACCCCCCCCCGTGTCCCCTTGCCCTGCGTGCATGTTGCGGGAGCAGTTGGGGTAGTGGGGGCTTCCTGCAGACTTGGAAGATGGGAGGGGAGGGGAGGAAGTTGCAAGTAACTCAGAGAGTCACACGTGAAACAAAGCACGTGGCTGGGCTGCCAGGGTGCTCGGCCTTCTGGTTCCTCTGACCTCTTCCCCACCTTTTCATACCCCCAGGAGAGCTTCTCGTGTGGAAGAGTTGTCTCTCATTATCCTGTTTCTTGTTCACCCAAGTTCTTACACACACTGTCTACTCATAAGCACTGAAGGCGTGGTCCTCGGGGAAGAATTCTAGAAGCAGCTGTTGAGGGGTTGGTTCCACCTCACGAGGGGAGCAAGGTGGTTGGAGCCAGGGGAGGCGCCTGAGGATGGTTTGGGTCGGACCAGGCGTCCCCCGACTCATCCAGCAGGGGTGGCCAGGAAAGGACCTGGTCCACCAGGGGAGGGGCTTGGGGCAGGGGATCAAGGGCAACCAAGGCCACACCCCCGGAGCCGTGCGACTGAGGGTCAGTGGGAGGTCGTGGAGGACAGGAGGCAGAACGAGGAAGACCGGCCAGAACTCGACGCCTCGTAAGAGGAGGTTGCGTCTTCGCTACTCCCGTGGCTGTGCCGTGTGACGCAGGGCTGGACACAGTGGGGACTCGAGATGTGTGTGCCGCGGCGGACGCTCAGTCTGGCACCGTTCCTGAAATCTTCCCTTCCAAGGCCGGGGCTGCAGCTGCTGTTACAGGTGCCTCTACTCCTGGGTCCGAGCACTTGCAGCCACGCCACTGTTTTCTGACCGGCCTTGGCAGAAAGGCCCTGGGACAGTGCCCTTGACATGTTCTTCCTCCAGGAAGCCCTGAACTAGGCCCCAGTGTCTGCATCACACCCCGAATCGCGCAGCCAGGGTGCCACCGTCGGGCACCGGGGGCCCGCTGCAGCCGAAAAACCACGGCAGGTGCCGCCCCGTGTCCTTCCGGGTCCGCCTCTACCCTCTCGGTCACGATAAGGGGCAGGTCGGCTTCGAGACTCTCGGTCTCGGCAGCGCCAGCCTCGCTGCCCACACCGGCCGCCCTCCGGCCAGTTTCCACCCTTGGGCCTCGTTCCCTTGCTCAGACCCTGGAGCCTCCCGGTCTCCTCCCACACTGCTCAGTTCGGCACCACTCACCTCTCAGTTCCCGCTTCCTTCCCGCTTCTGCTTCTGTAAACGCACTCGGAGTTCTGTTCCCGTGCCTGGGGCACGCTGCACCCCTCCCGTCTGGGTCTGCCGTGTTCCTCCCCTTCCCGGAGCGCTCTTCCTCCCCGTCCGCCGGGGCTTCCGAACCGGAGCCCGTTTTGGACTGTCCTTTGCTGGGAGCTCTCGTAGCCCCCCCGGGTCTGGGTTCTCCTGCCAGTGGACGGAGACGGCATTTCCCGCCCTTTGGAAGGAGGTCGACTGGGACGAGCCGTGACATTGCCACTCGCGGGCTCCCCCTGTGACGGCTGCTCGGGTTCTGTAAGCCACGTGTATTCTCTCCTGCATGGAGTAAGACAGCGGTTATTTAAACCAGCCCAGTACCCTGAGCACTCAGAGTGAGCTCTTATTTATTGTATAACTCTAGCACGAATTCAATAAGACTGACACACGTGCTGAGCTAACAGCATGCTCCCTGGTCCACTCTGCCCCCTTTTGTGGCTCCCGCTGCCCCTCAAAGATCCAGCGTGAACTTGCCCGCGTGGTGCCGCACTGTGTGTGAGCAGCCGGCGCCTTCTGCACGGAGGGCCCGCCCGCCCGCCG